TTTGGATTAGGCAGTCAAGCAACTTCTTGTGTTGCCTCGAACAAGTTTAGGGCGTGTTCGGTAGAGATTAAAATCAGATTAAAATTGAAAAACTAGCCGTTATTGTTGACTTTTATTAGACGAGTGGGACCTAATAATTGCTATATTTTCAATTTTAATTTGATTTTAAGTTTAGCCAAACTTGCTCTTAGTGTAAAGAAATGTGTTTTGTATTGTTTGTAGACCAACAAGCCTGTAAATCAATGCTATTGTTTGATCAGCTTATGGAATATGTGTTGGTTGTAAAGCCGCTTTTGGCTTTCTTATTCATTAAGACTTTTGGCTTTATATTCTTGGCAAGTGGATAGCTACAAATAAGTTAATGGATAAAGTTGATAAATTGATAGCTACAAAGCTAATGGATAACAACCTCACCATCTCTATATATATGTATGAGCTACAACACATATTGTATCATCCCATTTTGGAGTACAGAAAAACGCAGAGAGAAAGAGAGAGTTTTAGAGAGAAAATACTAGTGAGTTTCTCTTAAATAGTTTTAGTCTTTCCTTTTTCAAAGTGTGCATTTCTCTTATTATAAAAGATGGGGTTTTGTCAATTGTGCTCTCCTTATCTATAGAGAGAAAATGTTGTAATCATTTTGCTATACTGAAATCCTTCTACAATTTGCCCTTGATTTTTCCACGTAAAATTATTGCGTTCCTCATTTTTCCTTGGTTTTCTCATTTCTACTTTAGTGGTAATTGTGTGTCCCGTACCACAACGTCCTAACAGTGGTATCAGAGTGTCGGGTTTATAGCCGATTTTTCATGCTACAGTCAGATCCAGTTTGTGGAAATGAGACATCTTCAACAATGGCGACGAAGTACGAAATAGAAAAGTTCAATGGGAATAATTTCTCATTATGGAAAATGAGAATAAATACAGTTTTAAGAAAAGATAACTGCTTGACGGCAATTAGAAACAAGTCCGAAGAGATAACCGACGATAGCAAGTGGAACGAGATGGATGACAATGCTATTGCTGATCTGCACTTAGCAATTGTCGACGAAATATTGTCAAGTGTGGCGGAGAAAAAGACAGCAAAAGAGATATGAGATACACTAACAAAATTGTACGAGGCCAAATTGTTACACAACAAAATCTTCTTGAAAAGAAGGCTTTACACCCTTCGGATGATGGAGTCTACTCCGGTGACTGACCGCATCAACACCTTCAATACTCTATTTTCATGACTCACATCAATGGGGCATGATAGAGACAGATGAACGTGCTAAAATTCTACTTCAGAGTCTATCTGATTCATATGATCAACTCATCATCAATATAACCAACAACATAGAAGTACTCGTCTTTGACAATATTGCAGCTGC